TCACGTGTAAAGGTCCTATGGCTGGTATCTCATTGTCAACGGGACAAGTAGTTGTAACACTACATGTAGAGTAGACTTCACTGAAATAGTTAGCAAATGTCTCCGCTTTCGCTAGATCAGATTCAGCCAATAAAGCTGAATTTTCGCTTAACAGTAACGAGGGAATACCATCACTACGTTTCGTCCGCCTTTTAACGTACGAAAACAGTCGCTTCGGACAGATACGGCTATCGTATGCCAACTGTCGTTCGTAAGCCGTGCGGGATTTAGCTATGGTCTTTTTACATATATTCCGGATATTTTTTATATTCGCACTTAAATGATGTCTGACCTGTTGACAAGAATAAGTCCCAGAAGTGTTTCCTACGCTTCAACAGCTTCCGGGTTTCCTTATTAATCCATGGAGGGCAATATGATAGCTTACGTGCTGACCATGGGATAAACGGTTGAGTTACGGATTCGAACGTAGATTTAAACCTATTCCATGCATCATCAATCGAGATAGCATAGTCCCTGGTTGCCGGAATATTAGCTCTCCAGATATTAGGACGGGGTGGAGCAGATGCAAATTCTATACCATGTATCAGGAACTTAAAAGAAAGTACGACATGGTCACTATTCACCAGTGGGGGAAGGTGTTGAATGTCAACGATATCTTCACAGTGGTGTGTGAGGACAAGGTCTATCAATGACGGATTATGTTCCAAGTCTATATGCGTCGGCTTAACGATACATTGTACAAGTGCACATTGAATAATTGATGACAGAAGGACGCTATCGAAACCTCCACCTGGAGCTGTGAGCTCTATCCAGTTTATATGGGGTGCATTGAAGTCTCCAACGATGAGACAACATTCTGCTTTACTCCAAAAACAGACGTGTCTTAGGATAAAGTCGTCAGCGAGACAACACGGACTACGATATATTCCTCCTATCGTCACTAACCCGTTTCTAGACCTAATTGTACAACATACTACCTCACACGTACCACTTACATGCGCCTCCGATATGATCGAGTTTATGCGGAAGTGGTCCCTAACATGTAATATTATGCCTCCTCCCTTGCGACTTCTAACTCTATCACTTCTGATACAGATGTAGCCTGAAATGACTGGAGAACAGTCTATATCTACAGTGAACCAAGTTTCGGTGATAACAATTATATTCGGATTTAATTCGTCTACCATCAAACTTAGCTCAGACATCTTATTCCGAAGACTACGGGCATTCGTGTAACACACATTTAAGGTGTTTTTGGAGACATACGTTCTACCCACACAAGTTTCGGAAGCATTGGCTTCCAAGACCTGACTACCCGAAAACCCTTAATCGTAAGGTTCGCTTCACCGTTTAGCTTTCGAGTTTTTAACTCTGTTAGGGCATTCTTCCACTTTATCAGATCCTCAAGTGGCCAGTCAGGTCGAATACGAATATTTGAGTCACGAGTTTTGCGTGCGTTATTTAGTACTACATCCCTTTCCTCAAAATTACCGAGTACTTATTTAAGGATCCTTCTCTGTTGGGTTTCGCCTCCAACATATTTACCGAGTCTGATGACTTTCGAGATATGTACCCCTAGGACCTCATCGGGCGGTATATTTCTGATGAGAGATCCCACTAACTGCAGGTCGTGGGCATGTCTCTTAGCGGGATCGGTGTCTTTCGATTCTTTCAAGTTCCAGATGATTACACTAGGAACCTGTTTAACTTCCTTAAAAGTCGTGTTCACGGCCTTCGACCGTGACGTCAGATCCTGCCGGTTAGCTACCGGCTTCTTACTGTTAGCTTTCTTTATAACAGTGTGATGTGGGTCGAGCGAGTTGTCCTTAGCTTTCTACAAAGCCGAAAAACAGTTCTTCAATATTGTGCTTTGATGTCCGTTTCATATTTATCTAAATAAGTCAAATAAAGGGCGGATATCGATTTTCACGACATCAGGTTCTAAAAATCGACAAGTCAATGCGATAATTTGTGTTTAACTCAAACAAACGTGTCCGTTCGTCAGAATCAGATCTGTGTATTGAGAACAAAAATCCGTCGGTCTCAAATTCCTTATATAGTAGGTCTTTGCAAATGCGTAGTCTTTTTAGTGATTCAGGGAAAACTGCAGACTCCACTTCGGGTTGGTAACTACATGATTTGATGACACGTGAAAACCTGCATGCCATGGATTCGTTCTAGGCCTGTGAACTCATCTGATATTTCTTCTGAATCTTCGTTATCTGGCTGGAAGAAAGTGGGTGTAAATGTCGTGTCTTGAGTCATTGCTTGATATTATATACATCGAAAACAAATAGCTTCTCAATCTGCAGTTGAACAGAGTAAAGAGGTGTAACTTCTCAAGCTGCATTGTGTAAAATAAACCGCAGAATTTTGAAGTTGCATTGGTAGATATCGTCTGTACATTTTCAAGCCATCTCAGCCACCTTTAACGTGAACTCGCTTCTTGGATCCAGTTCTCAAGTTTGTGTCTTAAAGGTTATGTTTACTGTAGTAAACATAGTTGCATTCAACCTAAAGCCCGTACAGTATTGACCTCCTAAGTGGTCAGGTCTGTGAAATTTCCAGTGTGCTGGACAAGAGCCTATGAGCGTGGATTCCAACGGTACGTGACCGAACAAATTCACTGGTGATTCTGCCTTTAAGTTAGACCAGTTGATAGGGGATGCGTTGAAGTCATTCGCTCTAAGACTCCTCAACATGTTTAATCAGGATTGTGGTTTATTAAGCAGAAGGTAATTCAGTTTACATTACGAGCTTCATCATGTTGCAGCTGGTTCCATGTCTTATTCCATACATTTCAGCCCACGGCATACCAATTCATACGTTTCTAAGTTATGTGCCACTCTCTGCAGCTTGTACGACTAAAATTTGCTTCAGGTGCAGGATGACACTACCTTCTTTACGGTTTGGTGTGTTCCACTAAATAAAAAAACCAACCAGTTAAATCTCGCTATCATTTATTTATGGTGCTGTCCATGTTTCTGAAATGTCAATGGCCTTAGGGTTTTCTGTGCCAGTCATATTTTTTGGCTTTAGCACTTTTCATTAGAGTAAGAGGTGGTATTATAGACAATCAACTCTATTAGATACTTACTCGGTCTATGCTCAGTGATTTGGGTTCACTTGGCTCCAAACCTTAGCGATCCGGAAATCCCCTTAATCATAATTTTTTTTATCGCGACATCATTCTTTTATATTTACTTGCTTCGGGTATATTTAAGTATGACCGATGCAGACTCACGTTCCAGTCCCACAAAGCTTGTGTAAGTTTCTAAGTAACAAGTCACATTTCATGGTGAAGGCAATAAGTACTTTGAAAGTTTTCTGTTTGGACTGTCAGTATCCTGTTACTTACGCCTGTTTTTCCTTTGTGGAGGAGCATAGGCCAATCACTAGCATTCTCCATCCAACTCTGTCCTGGGCAATCCTTTCCAGTTCTTTCCGGCAACTGTTCATTCTTTTGGCGTCTGCTTCTATTTCCCGAAGTAGTGTTATTTGGTCTTCCTCTTTTTCGTTTCCCTTTCGGATTCCAAGTTAGTGTTTGCCTCATGATGCAGTTTGATGGTTTCTAAAATGTATATCCTATCCATTTTCAGCGTCTTCTAATTTCCTCTTCAATTGGAGTCCAGTTTGTTCTCCCTCACAGTACGCTGTTGCTGGTGGTATCTGGTCGATGAACATTCAGTCCCTTAAGTAGACAATTATTTATAAATACTTGTACTTTCTTGATGATGATTGTAGTAGTTCTCCAAGTTTGAGGTCCTTACAATAAAACTTTCTTGATGTTCGTATTGAAGATTCTGATTGGTTTTGGTTGACAGTTGTTTTAAGTCCCATATACGTGAAAGTTACTGCCTGTTCCAGAGCTTCTTCATCTGATGCGACTGATTTGGTGTTCTCTGTATTGTATTCCGAATGATATTAACGATTTTTTCAGGTACAGTGTCGAAGAAGGTTCCACAAAGTCATATCCACGCTGTCAAATGCTTCCTCATAGTGAAGGAAGTTGATGTATGGTGGCGAGTTCCATTCAATTGATTGTTCAACGATGACCCATAGTATCGCGATTTGGTCTGTGCACGAGCGATCCTTACGGAATCCAGTCTGTTGGTCTCGAAGCTCGACGTTTACTGAGTCTTTCACCCAATTCAGCGACACTGCTTAAGACTTTTCCTGGTACTGATAGTAGTCAGGTTCCTCTATATTTCTCAAATCTTTCTGTAGTATCTTAGTGAGGTGTTCTTTCCAGTTCGTCAGGACTTGGTCCTCCCCTGAAATCTTCCCAAATAGAACGTAGAGCATCTGTGCAGTTTTGTGTCTGTTTCCATTGCTTCAGCTGGTATATTTCCAGGACCTGCTGCTTTCTCACTCTTGATTTTTCTAATGGTTATCCTGATTTCTTTGATCTTTGGTGGAATGACATCTATAGTAATGTTGCTGCTGTTTAGATATCCGGTTGATTCAATGGGGCTGGTGTATTCAAGAGTTCCTCGAAGTGTCCCACCCACCTGTTCCTCTGTCGAATCTCGGTGATTGTTTTTCCTTTTCGTTTCTGGTCGATCTCTCTGGTTTACCATATTTTCTTGCTAGTTTCTTCGTCGTGTCATATAGTTTTTTGATATTTACTTCTTTTTCATCTGTCGTCGCTAGCTCTTCCACGTATTTCTGCTTGTCGATTCTGATGTTTTTTTTCACTTGCTTCTTTGCTTCTGTGTACTCAGCTTGTGCCTTGACTTTCTCTGTCCTTGTTCGTTTGTTGTTAATTGCTGTCATCTTGTTCTTTCTTTCCTGAATCTTGTGCATGGTTTCGATAGAGATGTATTCCTTATGATGCTTCTTGCAGCCCGGAATCTTCTGTTACGTCGAAGTTACTGCTTCTGTGACTCCTTTCCAGTCGTCCTCCATCGTATTTTCCTCTTCCTTAAACAGATCCTGTAAGGCTTGAGACCTGTTGTTGAGAGTTATCCTGAATTCTTTGAGTTTGTCAGTATGTTAAAGGAAGGCTGTATTGAACCTTTGTAATGCTGTTTCTCCAGTTTTCCAGTGCTTTTTCAGCTTCAATTTTATCTTTGCAACCACCAGTTGGTAGTGGTGATCTAAAAGCTATGTCAGCTCCTCTTCTGGTTCTCACGTTTTCCATTGATCTTCTGGATTTTTTAGTGATGCAAATATGATCGATCCTTTTAGGGATGTGGAATTCCGAAACATAACCTATGAGGATGAAAATCGATATACATTTCAAAATGAACTGAAAGTGGATACACTTCTAATTCTACTGAGAGAAACTACACTTCCTGCTCAAGTTGGAAAGACAACGAATTCAGATTTAATCCAAATAAAATTTTATCTATAATATAGACATAAAAGTCATTATTCTGGAGTTACTGATAAACCTAGTACAATTTAGTAACTGTTTACAAGTTTTGGATTGTATTCATTGTGGGCATTAAATATGTTAACAGACCACCCTAAATTAAAACTGATTGAACCGGAACTTAAACTTTTGACACCAAATTAATGCCCTTAACTAACCAGTTCCATAGTGATCACTCTAGACTGGTTTTACTTGTAATTGATTAGGAGTCATTATACTTCAAAACTAATCAGTAACTTTTGCTTTGGACAAAACCAAAGGGAGTTATTTACGTAATATTCAGTGACTTACTATTTCATGTCTATCCTTTAGTTCAACCCTGTATGTCGTTTTAAAAGAATAATCGGATCAGTAATGCTGAGACTAGGCACAACTTTTCATTTAACTGTGCTAAGCTGTGGACCTTCATTGTTTGATATGGTTTGGGACACATTACTGACGGGTAGCCACCATCTACTTTGACGTTTTGATCTGCCTAGCATATGAGTAAACTTGGAAGGACTAAATGTGATCAAATATGACCTTGATTTGTTAGGTTGGACTTTACTATGTTGGGGTGTATTGTATTTTGCACTTGCTCTATTAATTGGAAGTGTCTTAACAACTTTGATTGATGGGAATTTATTCTGTTTTTTAACCATTGGTTAATTTGAAAATGCAGGATTCATTGACTAACTAGTAATCTTTTTTTTTTCAAATGAAAGTTACAGACGTTTCTTGTTCGAATTAATGATGAAGTATCCGTGAATTGTGTGTAAACTTGAGAGAAAATGAGTAAAAATAAAGGTAATGTTTCGTGATTACAGTTGACTAATTCATTTGCTCTTTCCAAATCTTTAAGTTCGCCAACATTCTAGTCGTCGTAAAAAGTACAAAGAAGTAGTTCAATCGCGTGTAAACAGTAAAACTCCTGTTCAATATACTCGTCGATTAAAAACAAAAAAGCATAAAAAGTTAAAAAATGTTGGCTCGAATAATTCAAATTTAGGTATGTTCTACTTTTTTCGTTGCAATCTTGCTAATTGTCTATTAATCAGAAATATACAATCGTCCACCTAAAGCAAATGATGAAGATTATGTTCCAGCAAGCTTTAAACAAATGTTACTTATGAAAGAGGGTAAATGGAAACCTTTACTTGATCCAGGTATACGATATCTATTTGTTTTGTATATAGTCTTATTCACTACAAAACAGCTGTTGGAGATACTAAAGGTATGAAGAAAAAAGATGATCCAGTTCCTGTTTTAAAACAAGGTAAACATGAATCAGATGCCCATTATTTGGGACGACTTCATAAAGAAGTTGAAGATGAATTGAGTAAAGTGGAATTCTCCAAGAAACAACGAGTAATATTAATATATATATTTTGTATTTTAATAATACTAATTTAGACTGAACTTGTTCCTATTACAGAAGTTAAACCAAGCAAAAAGAAACGTAAAGCTATAAAGTAAACTTTAGAACATTTTACTCTTATAAACTTTGAAGACGTTTAAATGATAAAAGAAAAGAAAAACGTTTACATGCTGTTGAAAAACGATTGACAGGTTTTGAACACTTACAAGGTTTGTATTCACTTCTTTTGTAAAATAATGAATATGCAGATAAAGTGAAATTCAATGAAGTCGTTATGGCGCCTCCCGTACATTTGACTAAACCTAAAATGGTATTTAAGAAAAAACTAGATCAAGTACACAGTTTAGACAAGTTAGTTTAATAATTTAATATTTTTGATATATGGATAACCAGATTCCTATGCTATACATATCTGTTTTTTTTAGATGTATTGCTTCCTCACCCTTAAATAATATCTGTCCATTCTCCCTCTCGAAATGCTCTCACATGGCCATGCGTATATAGCCTCTATCACAGAAGTCCTACTCACTGCCTTCTCGTGGCTGGGGTGTTGTTCACGAAAGTGAGAGGACGAAAAGCGAATGTCCGGCGCTTTAACCGGGTTGATGGACACGGAAAGTCCACGTAGGGGAGTTGGAAAAACTTGATTTCAAACCAATGGTGTACATGGGTTCCGGTATCCTGAGGGAACAAATGGCGTATGAACCAGTCTTTGGACACTGACTACCATGTAACTGTATCTTCTTACGATGCTCCACCGCCTTGTGGATCAGACCTTTAGATCAAAGGCTCGGGGTGTGCTCCCCTAGGAAAACCACCTGCTTCGGTCTGGGCACCTGGGCAGTATCACAGCCCTCACACAAATCAAATGAGATTTGTGTGACGCATATGTATCTGGTGCCCCTTTGTACCAATATGTATGTGTTTAAATAAATAAATAAAATATCTGTGCATCTGCTTTTTCCAAATCAGTGAAATGAGACTGCTATGAATGTTGGTTAGTTTTATTTTAGAGAATGAGAGAGATGGAAAAATGAAAAAAAACTTGCTGACTTCCAGGAAGACTAAATATTTGTTTTGATGTCTACATTCAATCGATCACGGGTTAGTAACCTGTGTGTTGGTTGTGAAACTTTGCTCTTATGAGCTAAGGATGTTGTGACTCTTAATTCTATCATCGTTAACTCTGAAAGATTTTTGCCATCCGGTGTTAACACCATATTAGTAATACTAAAGTTCGCAGCCTGCATTAGGTCGGTCTGTCACAACTCTCAGATCGGGGTCCTTAAAACATCAGGTACAGTCCAAAATATAAGCCAGTAGCGACGTTATCGTAGTATTTTTGACATTCTTCATAAAAGTATGATATCGCTTAACTGAAAAAATCTTCCTTGGTTATATTGTGGTGTGTTCTACTGATGCCGATAGATATTAGTAGTATGTATCATCAATCGAAAATGAAAAGCCTAGTGGCAAAAGGTTAAGAAGATCAAAGTGGAGAGAATGAGAATGATTGATGTGGAAATGAAAGAACAATGAAGTCTGAAACAATTGATTGACATTTTGCAAATGAAAAATTTACTGTATGGTTCTCAGATTTTACTAAGATATTCTGTAATATTATGTTCAAATACATTCAACTGTCCCCATTCGTGTTCTTGTTCATTACAGTATGCCTAACTGACACTTATCTTTTATTATACACTATCCTTGTTTACAATATTATCTCTTTATTTTGTTGCACATTCTGTTTTGAGTGCGTAGTTGCAATATATTTGTATTATGTAAATAAGTAGCAATATCGTCTCTACTCCTTAGTGTAAATCGATTCAGTTGCAACGTGGCCACCAGTTCAAGTGAACAAACATGTCAGTGCACGTTGATATATATGATTAGAGATAAACTTGTTGAATAAAGACACTAATAGCTCAGCGATAACTTCTTTAACTGTATCATGGTGATCATAATTCGGTTTCCACGACAGTTATCAGCTCTTTAGAGTTTGTGGATTCACCTTGCCGCTAAATATCAACTAATACCAAGCCTAGACTGGAGGCTTCTTTATGATTGACTCCAACTATTTATTTATTTATTTATTTGAACACATAAATATTGATAAAAAGGCTCATCGAATACATACCCGCCACACAAATTACTTGATTTGTGTGTGGGCTGTGATACTGCCCAGGTGTTCAAACCGAAGCAAGTGGTTTTCTTAGGGGGTCTCACTAGGAGCCTTCGACCCAAATGTCTGATCCACAAGGCAGTGGAGCAACGTAAAGTGATTCAGTCCCATGATAACCGATGACCAATAATTAGTTCACACACCTTTCTTTTCTCAGGATCCTGGAACCCATGTACACCATTGGTTTGAAATCAGGGTTTCCCAACTCCCCTACGTGGATCCTCCATATCCACCAACCCGGTTAAAGCACCGGACATTCGCTTTTCGTTCTCTCAATTTCGTAAACAACACCCCCACCACGAGAAGGCAGTGGGTAGAACTTTCCTGTCACTGATTGTATACACGTGACCATGCGAGAGCATTTAGAGAAGAGGACTGTCTCCACCAGGGCATTTGGGGCTGGTTATCACAGTACTTTTAACACTTCGTTTTCGTAAACAGTTCATGACAAGATGCCACCTCACATTTTTTTACATATTCAACACCGTTCTATTTTACTATACTTACTTACGACTGTTACTCCCAATGGAGCATAGGCCGCCAACCAGCATTCACCAACCCACTCTGTCCTCCGCCTTCCTTTCTAGTTCTATCCAGTTTTTGTTCATTCTTCTCATGTCTGTCTCCATTTCTCGGCGTAATGTGTTCTTCGGCATTCCTCTCCTCCTCTGGCCTTCAGGATTCCATTTTACTATGGTCTGCTATTTCAGCAAACAAAATTAACTGTAAATACGATTGTATAGCTTAAGTAAATAAAATTGTTGAAAAAATTTCTCTCACTGAATTGTCGTCTTCCTTCTTCAGTGATACGAGTCTCTTTTGTCACATTATTGTTGAATTTTCTTAAATCTATCAATTTTAACATTCCTTTGACCTTACGGTTAATAATCTACACATGTTCATTGTGATCGATTATGTTGTAGTGAAGGAGAACACGAATAGGGACAACCAAATGTATTTTAACATAACATTACAAAATATCTTGGTAAAATTTGAGAACCATACAGTAATGATTCATCTACAAAATATCCGTCAGTTGTTTCAGACCTTGTTGTTCCTTCGTTTCCATACCAATCACTCTGTTCTCGTTCTCTGCTCTTCGATTTTTTCAACATTTTGCCGCCAGAAATTCCATTTTCGATTGATGATATATACTACTTATATCTATCGACATCAGTAGCACACCACAATGTTACTGTTTTTCTCCATTTTCAACATGTTCCTTCATAAATTTAACCGGTATGAATATGGAATGACATTTCAATTATTTTTCTCCAGTGTACTAAATGTGCGTCTACTTAGAAGGGCCTGGTTTATAGTGTTATCTATGCATTTCTGATCGTTGGGGGTATCTATTATTTTCGGGAGATTTCGATATATTTGTTTCTAAAAAGCTTGACTTATGGTTTGGCCAATCAGGAATCTAAATGATGTTCTTTTCTAGTTCGATTGAGCTTACACTCAAATTGTTGCTTTTTGTAATGTCTTTTATTTATTTATTTAAACACATACATATTGGTACAAAGGTGCACCAGATACATATGCGCCACACAAAACAATGAGAATGGGAAGAGAAAAAGAGGGTAAGGTGCATATAAGAAAAAAAAACGATAACAACCACAGATTAGTGTATGTTAGTGTAATATTAAGAATAATAGTGGGGGAAGCAGAAATTTACAACCAGAAGAACTTTTTAGTTAAGGAAGTTATAACCACTCTTTATGAAGAAAGTAAAAGAAGGTTACAGAAGGATCGCCACTGGCTTCTATTCTTAGCCATATCTGATAACGTCTCTTGCCACTGTATTGCATTATCTCTCAGTTGAGCATCGTAAGGAGATGCAGTCCCATGGTAGCCGGTGACCAATAATTGGTTCATACTCCATTTTCCCCTCAGGATACTGGAGCCCATGTACACCATTGGTTTGGAATCAGGGTTTTCTAACTCCCTTAGATTGACTCGCCGTGTCCACTGGCCCGGTTAAAGTACCGAAAATTCGCTTTTCATCCTCCCAATTTCGTAAACAACAGTAATGCCACAAGAAGGCAGTGAGTAGGACTTCCCTGGGAGAGGCTGTATACGCGTTGCCGTGTGAGAGTATTTCAAGAGGGAGGGGGGCCCCTCCCTTCTCTCGGTTGGAATTTAGGGGCAGGAGCTTTATTATTTGTGATAGCTGTGCAGTTGGACTTTCAATTTCTATAAGTATAAGAACTTTGAAATGAAGCTTCACTAATGATTCTTGAACGACGAGCGTTCTTACTTCGTGATTAATCCCAAGAAGTAGACAATCTTAAAAAGCCACTTATGGACTTTCTAAGTATCGATTGAAAATATATTTATGAATGAATTTCTTTTCATTTTAATGTGATTCGTCTAGAAAACATTTAATTATTAATTTTCTTTGTATTTCAGATTATTAACAACGTAAATACAACTTCATCCTTTGTACATCTATACTAATTTCTATTAAATAAATAAAGAGAATTATTAATACATACTCAACTGAGATTTCCTTGTTCTAGTTTTCAGAGTTGTCTATCAATTTGATAACGACTATTTCATCGTTGTTCTGAATTGAAGTTTTGGTAGAAAAAGTGACTTTCATTCATTAGGTAACAGGTTTAATGTCTCAATACTACACCTACTTCGTTTTTATTTTATTTTATTTAAACACATAAATATTGTTACAAGAAAGCACCAGATACATATGCGCCACACAAATCTTATTCGATTTGTGTGAGGGCTGTGATACTGTCCAGGTGCCCAAACTGAAACAGGTGGTTTTGTTAGGGGCCTACACCCGGAGTCTTTGACCTAAAGGTCTAGTCCACAAGGCAGTGGTGCATCGTGAGGAAATGCAGTCCCTTGGTAGCCAGTGACCAACGATTGATTTATACGCTATTTGTTCCCTCAGGATACTGGAGCTTATGTGCAAGATTGGTTTGGAATCAGGGTTTTCCAACTCCCCTAGGTGAACTAGCCGTGTCCACCAACCCGGCTAAAGCGCCGGACATTCGCTTTTCGTCCTCTCACCTTCGTGAACAACACTCCAGCCACGAGAAGGCAGTGAGTAGGACTTCTGTGACAAAGACTATATACGCGTGGCCATATGAGAGCATGTCGATAGGGAGAGATAACTCTACCCCCTCTCAGCCGTACCAGGGCTTTTGGGGGCTTATAAGTCTAGTGTCAGGAGTGTTTGTTATCAGTAATAACCATCACACAGTATGTGTCAAAACGGATTACATGAATATGTAAACCTAGTTGTTGTTATGATTCTGAAGCAAAACGCTATTTATTGAATTGTAGTTCGATCAAGCCATTAATTACAAGTTGTTTGTAATCCTTTCAGTCATACCTATTGTGATTGTGATACTATTTGATTGCCCAAACTGAAATCCTTTATACACTCCCTCTTTATAAGTGTTAATAAAACAATAAAATTAACCTCAAAAGAACAATATAAATTCATCGAATTTTGTATGTTCAATCCAAAAACAGTCTGTGTTTTCATATGACCAATTATTCAAACTAAAATCAACAGATATAACCAATCAAAATATGACATCATGGATTCTATCGTTTAAAGTTTTATCTATAAGTGAACCTGTTTCACGGTTATAATGAAAGTATTGTCATTCTTCGACTTGAAAACCGCTCTGGTGTAGTTATCATATGCAAAGAGAAGCTTGTCATTAGAGCTAAGATTATTCTAAGTGATCTATTAAGGTTTGTCCATAGGGTGAGATGACTGGACCACTAGAGAGATCTGTTACGTAGAGTTTATTGGAAATTTCTTAAAAAAATTAATCTGTGGTTCCAAATATAATGAGCTGAAACTTCCAGGATCCATATCGAGGTTAGGTTTAAGTGTTAGAATGTTCCCATCGAACTAAAACTATCATCTATTCACTTCACAAATGTGCCCATTAATTAGAGTGTTAGAGCCGGACCACTTGAGGGTGTTCGTGCACGATTTGAGAGACGCCATTCAATCTAAATTCAATTCAAGGTGATAGATCTTCAGTAAATTCATGGTTCTATTCGACGCATCGCTGTTATTTACTACAGTCCGCCGGAAGATATCATACAAACTATGTACCAACACATTTACGCACTTTTTTTTTACCTACGGACGAACTTATCGAGCTTCTACTAATGTGTGTGAAGGATTTTCAACTTCGATTCAAGTGCTTTGAATCGTCTAGTTTGTGGAGTGGCTATGATAAGTCCCCTTGGACCAGTGCTTGGAGTTATGTTTTTAACAAACTGAAGACAAAAAGCTGTGAAATCAATGATAAGACGTTTTACGTCAGGGATGGTGATCACTTTGTTGTCTGTATTGGTTGAATGAACCTATGATTCCCTTGTATGAATGACTTTTGATTTTTAATTCCAAATACAGTACATTCGTTCATGCTCATCTAATACTTCTTAATTAAATTGCGTTATTGCTGGGATTAGTAGTTCATACTATAATTCAAATACTTCAAATCATCACATTGGCGTCGCGATGGAGCCTGTGATCGAACGGTTGTGTATATATATTCAAATTTTAATGCTTTCGAGGGTTACATGGAGAGGTTTGAAATCTGAACTATGACCAAGGAAGATGATGAGGATTTCAATATTGTGGCCCATTTCCTTACATTCATCGGAAAAGAAGCATACCACTTAATAAAGACTTTGGTATTCTCAGACAAGCAGATTTCATTCCCTCAAGCAACTACTACTGGAACATGTAAACTATACAAATTTCGACTGCATTGAAGGAGAAAAATTCAGTGAAATGACTCGCCAGAACATCTGGAATTCCACTACTTTACTAAGTCGTCGCAGTCCAATACGTAATGAAAGTTATTGAGATAACAATGCACTAAATTGTGAAACAGTTCACGAAGATGAGCACAAGTTTGGTAAATGCTTGTTCTATGACAAGTTCCACCCATGCAATTCATGTGTATTTCATAATTCTAAATGCTTTGAATGTGGTAAAACTGGACACATTCAGTCAGTTTGTAATACGATAGTTCATTTCTCTGAAACTAATGCTAAAATTTTCGACTGTGAACCTATTAAGTTGGATGTTCCCAATGATTACCTATCTTTATTCAGGACTTCTAAAAGCGGTATAACGTCACATAACAGTCCATAGTTAAATGAGACCTAGAATCATTGTCAGACAAAAGTTTCCAATCAACCAACTACTTATCGGATCGCTCGTGTTATTGTACAAGATATGGTTCATTGTAATAATTCATACATTTCTGATGAAATTTCTTACAACTCTGAGAACAAAATGTTGAATTAGTCGAATCATGATCAAAAACCGGATTCAGTTTTGGTAGATGCAGATTTCTTTAATGATCCATTATTCTCTAATGAAACTCCTAATAAATTTGAGGGAAATATTTCATAAAAATCGAATTCTGATATCATATCAAGTGTCAGTGGTCCTCAAAATGAATTTCTCTCTAGTGATATTCCTAATAAATGTGACAAATATTTTCCGAATGAGTCGAATTCTAGTCGCATTTCTGATGTTATTGTATCAGATATTCGATATTCTCAAGAATAATGTTTGTTGAGTAGAATCCCTAGTCAGTGGCATGATGAATCAGAAGGAATAGCAAGTTTTCCTGATGCATTCAGAGAACCAGTTTGCCCAGATATGGAGTTGGCACAGGCAGAGAATCCAAATCAAATCCAAGATTATCCAAATGAGTATGAGGCAGATAAATGTTTTCCATTCGATTGTTTCGCAGGTGAATCAAGACTTGATGAATCACATGTGTCAATTACATATATCAATGTATATCTATCTGTGTATTGTAATATGAATAACAAAAAGAGTCAGAGTCACATGATGGAATACCTCAAATTACGTGTCAGTGTTTATCTCCAAATACTCACATACAGTAATCAAAGCGTGAGATTTGAGAAGATAATGCGAATTGGAGATGTCATATTGGTTATAACATTGCAACGTAAGGACCCAACATTTACAAGTCGCCAGTGAGCGAATGATACATTTGGCCTCATTTTATTTTAACAATTTTGTGGTGATTTGCAAATTTTCCGTACAATTTTAAAGATCGTTTCCATACGCGATCACTATAAATGATTGCATTGATAATTGCATTTGACTTGACCAATGTGTGTGTGTGTAATGCTGTGGATGATTGTAGCGTTGGTGCTGGTGATGGCGCTGTTGGTTTAGTCCTTGTAGATCGGGTGTTATTGTCCAAACGGTGGAAGTTTGTGGATTGATGATATTGATGATGGTAATGTTAGTAGTGGTGTGGTGTGATCTACTTATATCCATATAAGTAGTATATGGTGTGGGTCAGACATAGAATGTATTTTGGCAGAAGACCGATGACGAAAGAACTGAAACGAAGCGCAATCGGTAGGAAAATGCACGAACAATGGAATTAGAGAAAAAACAGTGAAGATCGAGACTATTGGTTGTTAATTTGCAAATTGACTGTACATTGTATGGTTTTCAGAATTTACTGAGATAGTTTGTAATCTTTGCTTAAATACATTCGATTGTCCCCAAGTCGTGTTCTGTTCATTACAGTGGGAGAAGCAGATATTGTGGTGCAATTGTTTGTAGTGTTGTTTGTTTTGGTAGTGTCAGTATCGGTAATGATAGACGTGGTGATAGAAGTTATGACTTTATAAAAAATGTAAGACGTATGCTAATTAGTTATTGATCTTATGTCCGGCTTCTAATTACTTGATTTATCCACCAATCGAAATACGACTTGTCTCATCCTAGCACTATACCAAATTAAAGACAATCAACTGTTATGAGCAGGCTAGCGTCCCTATTGATCGCTTGTCCGCCTAGCCCTTCCAATTGAGTCCGAACCACCAATTACAGCTTCTGCTAAGCAAATCTATGCGAATCATTTATCTCAAGGATACTCGGTTTATATACCAGAGAGAGGGACCACATAACACCATAAAATAGAAAATAATATTTGTACAAGAACAATCCAAATAAGGCTGTGACCTGGGAGACAATAATCAATAAACTGAATAAAATTTGGGAACATTGAATAGTATAATAATAATTCATAGTTCGAAATAAAGGTTATAACAAGATGAATATAGATACAAACAAACGCATTACGCAATAATAATAATAATATATTCTGAAAATAATATTTACAGAATTCAAACCAGTTTACAGGCATGATCAGATTGTTAAGAAAATCAACATTTAATGTAGAGAACAAACATGAAATATGAGAAATTTTTATGTTTGCTGGTTTTGTAATTGATAAATAGTTTATATATGGCAGGCCAATGCAACACCAGGGGACTTGTCATTTTTTCTTAAGTGGATAGCCTGATGTTCTGAAAGGTTATTTCAAGTGCCAAGTGTTATTGATAATTATCTACAACTAGAGTAAGTAAAATTAAACCAAAGAGCACGGAACAACAAAACAATGATAGCAAGTAAGAGGTTAAACACTTAAAGTTCCTATAATCTC